AAGTTAGTTAGTCACATTTACGAAACGGGGAAAGTCCCGGAGGATTATAAACGGAACGTAGTAGTAACCTTACCTAAAAAGAGAGGCGAAGATAGGTGGGAGACATTTAGACCAATTGTCTTAACTTCCCATGCGTCAAAAATCTTAACTTGAATTGTACAGAGAAGAATTGAAAAAAGGGCGGAAGAACTATTAGGAGAAGATCAACTTGGGTTTAGAAGAAATAGAGGAATGCAGGCGGCCATTCTAACTTTAAGGGTAACAATAAAAAAAAGATAGAAAAGGAAAGAGCGTTTACTAGGGTTTGTAGATATAGAAAAAGCTTTTGATAACGTTAAACGGGAGAACATGTTAAATATGCTTAAAAATGTAGGGATGAGTTACAGGGATAGAAGAGTGATAATTAGTTTGCAAGGGAAGAAAAAGTAAGGAAAGAGCGAATATAAAGATAGGAGACAAAAGATTAGAAAAAGTGGTTGATTTTAGGTATCAAGGAAGTCAGATAAGTCAGGACGGAAGGAGTAGTAGAGATATAAAGCAGAAAATAGCACAGGATCGAGTCGCCATTAATAAAAAGAAGTCACTTTTATGCTCACGAACGATTAATTTAGAAATTCGAAAAAGATTGTTAAAAGTGTATGTTTGGAGCGCGGTGCCGTACAGGTGCGAAACATGGATGATGGGCGCGGCGGAAATGAAAAGGTTAGAAGCGTTCGAAATGTTGTGTTACAAGGGAATGATGGGGATAGTATGGACAGAGAAGGTTAGAAATGAAGGGGTATTAGAGAGAATAGGAGAACAGAGGACTCTATGGAAGTCAATAAGAAACTTGCGAGATAAGTTGGTAGGACGCCTTCTCAGGCATGAAGTCAGAGACATATTAGAAGCAGAAACGGAAGTTAGGAGGGATAGATAGATTAGATTACTGTTCGCAAATAATTAAGGATGTGGGATGTTCTAGTTTTAAGGAAATGCGAAAATTAGCTCAGGATAGGAAGGAGTGGAGGTGCATATCCAACCAGTCTTAGGACTGATGACCTTATGATGATATGTAATGATAATCATGTCTATCTGAAAACATCACCTTTTTATCTGAAAACTGTTCTAATTTAATCGAACACCCAAGATCTTTTGAAAGCTTTGAATTACATTTATCGGAGTTAAGGTACTTTATTTTTTAGATGAAAAGGTGGCTGAAGTAATTCATCTTCACTCATAATAACTGTTTTTAATTTCTCCATTTGTGATATCTATTTACAAATGTTTTAGAAGCTACATTTCTATTATAGGTACTCCGCTTATTCGAAATGAGAAAACAGATAAACGTCCTAATTTGAATAAATTCTGTTAAAGAAAGAAATCGCAATTTAGTAGTCGAGGAATTAAAGCACTGAACCTTCCAATTTTGGGTAGCAAGTCGGATCGAGATGCGGTTTTCTGCATTCGATTCGTGAGACTTTTTACAAACTTTGTGAACATATGAGATCAATTCATCTTCAAAAATGCATCTTTGCGTAAGAAAAATGCAGTCTAATAAGTGCATTGCAAAATAAACTAATAAAAGTTTCCATTAAAGTGTTATCAATAAAAATGCAATAAAAAGACAAACGAAATAACAACGAAAACGAGTACTCAAGTCTTCCAGTTCATTTGAAAAAGTTTAAAAATACGAATTTAATCAAAATTGACTATGTTGAGCTTAAAGGAATTTAATAGTTTTCCTTTTCCTTTAATTACCGTATTTCGAAAACGACGAAAAAATGCCTGTCAAACGAAGAAGACAATCACCAAATTTATGAATTTTAGATTGTATACAACAGCATGCAAGCAGCGTCGCTGGCTCAATGATCCTTTTCTTAATTTATTTATTTATTACTAATTTTTTCTTTTTTGACGGATATGTTTAGAATTATAAGGTTAAAATTTAGTGCTTCTAATCTTATCTTTTCCGCCGCGCCCTCCTTCGATGTTTCATACTTGTATGTACAAACATACATTTTTAATTAACCGTTTGCGAACATAGAACTGACTTTTTTTTTATTGAAGTCGACTCGATCTTGCGCTATTTTCTGCTTTATATCTCTACTACTCCTTCCGCCCTGACTTATCTGACTTCCTTGATACCTAAAATCAGCCACTTTTTCTAATCTTTTGTCTCCTATCTTTATATTCACTATTTCCCTACTTTTTCTTCCCTTGCAAAATAAGTATCACTCTTCTATCTCTGTAACTCATCCCTACATTTTTAAGCATATTTAACATCTTGTCCCATTTGACATTGTCAAAAGTTTTTTCTAAATTTACAAATACTATGTACACGCTCTATCCTTTTTCTATCTTTTTTTCTATTGTTCTTCCCCTAATAGTTCTTCCGTCCTTTTTTCCATTCTTCTCTGTACAATTCTAGTTAAGATTTTTGACGCATGGGATGTTAAGATAATTGTTCTAAATCTAAATGTCTCGCACCTATCCGCACCTCTCTTTTTAGGAATGGTTACTACGTACTACGTTCCGTTTATAATCCTCCGGGACTTTCCCGGTCTCATAAATGTGACTAACTAGCTTAAACGTAATTCCATCTATACCTGTTGCCGCATTATTCTTTAAGTTTTTTAATGCTACATCGAACTCTTCTCTCATTACGGGATAACCTAGTTCATCTATCTCCACACTATCTTCCTTTTCTAATATATCTCGCTAACTCATGGCCTGCGTATAGGTTCTCTAAGTATTACACTCCCGCCAGAATTCTTCCTAATGTCATAATTCCATGTATACACACTTATAAAGTATACAAGTACAAATGTTAAGAAGCTAAAACACTCTCGAGCTTTTACTTAAACTTATGCAGTACCTTTACTTCGTAAAACTGCTTTAATATGCCTAACCTGACTACCGCTGCAGCTCAAGTTCAGCTTTAGCTTTCTTGCAGAATTTCTCATGCCACACTATTTTTAATGTTTGCAACAGAGCCATTTTACTGCGGAAGTTTATTAACGAAGAAGCATCTTTGGTACTTTTTATTAACAGTTCGAAACGTGTTTTGCGAACTAAAGCTTTAATTATTCAAACACAATGAAAGAAGAATGCATATATATATAAAATTATACGCGTTCTATTGTAGCACCATTTATAAATAGGGTCAAGTACTATCTTTATTATTCTTGCAAAGAACACTTACACAATTTGAATTTAAAGTGTTTGTACTCAGCTATAGGAATGTACAACAAGCGATGGCTTACGTATGTACTTGACCAAAAAAGTAATGGATCACGTACAAAAATGACGAAAAATTATTGGGCAAGTACATTATAAATAACCACTCAAATAAATAAAATAAAACATGAAAATTAAGTAAATCCGAAAATTCACCGTTTTCAAGGAAAACGTAGTTGAAAGTACAGGTAAATTCAATTCCGGTCCTGCTAAAGAAATACGGCCCGCAACGCTGCACTCAATCACTTGGTGATTACCAGCAGATGTGCAGTATGTTTTGTATTTTTTTCCTCATATATTGTTTATTTGTTAAATTGGATTAAATGTGATTCAGGGTGTTTATGTTAACAGCCAACCTCTAGTAGCCGTTTATTTTTTGAACGTTTAAACCTTGTATAAGGCAGTCGATTTGCAATTCAGTAAAGTAATTCAGCAATACAACATCAATCATTAATGTAGGTCAGTCACTGTAGAACAGCTATTGTTACAATAATGAAACATGATGTGTAATAATGACGTTCGATAAGCGGCAATGTTTACATTCTCCATTCATGTAACTACAAAGTTGTTATCGCACTACGCTAACCGGTAGACACCTACGTCGCCAATTCACGCACAGGACCGGCTTCAGATTTTAAATTATTGTGATTTTCTTTAAAACAAACCCTGTATTACAAAATGATACAATTCCAATGACCTTCCTATGATTTTTTGCAAATTAGTTGACGATAAATCAATACTTGAAATTCCTAGGAAATATATATATTTATCTTTCATTGAATTTTAACTTGACAAAAAATTTCGAAAGAATATTTTACAGGAGGTTATATGATTTCATTAGAAGAAACAGTGTAATTTCTCGACAACAATATGGCTTCATGAAAAATCGTGGTACTACTGCAACTCAAATGCATGATAAACTTTACAATAGTAAACCAATAATTATAGCTTTGCTTTATTTGATTAAAGCATTTGATTTCAGTAACCGTAAAATATTGTTGGAGAAATTGCAATACATGAGCACATGAAACTGTAGGTATTATAATATATGATCGGATTCGTAGTTATCTTAACAGTAGGAAGTTTATAGTAATACCGATATGTAACTTTAGTAATGGGTGTACCTCAAGACACCACTTTAGGCCCTTTACTTTTTATACTTTATATCAGTGCCATTAAAATCTTTTGGGTAATTTATAATACTTTATACTGAAAATTATGAAAATGAATAAGTTGCTTGTAATTGTGTCCAACGGTAAGAAGACAATCTATACTTTCAATAAATGTTATGTATTATCTGCCGAAATAGATACCTACGATTTGATTTGAAAACATTTTTTCTTATCGTTTTCAAACTGCTTAATAAAGTCTCATGATTGTTTACAACACCCAGGCCTTTAAATCTTTAACTGGCGTTTTTCGTAATGATTACTAAGTATGGGTAAACACACAAACATACCTATGCTAGATCATTATTTTGCATTATAGTGATCTTGTATTGTTCATTTGGCAATGAAAATCCTGAATCAGCTAAGTTTTATTAATAGACTGGCGTCTTTAAAAATTTGAACACATGTTTGTTATTTCACCTAAACCAATGCCTTTCTTAAGTACCTATTTGTTTTAAATCTTTGGTTAAGTTCACAAAAATATTTTACCCTTTTAATTTAAAAAAAGGAATTGAAACATATTTAACCTTCACAGTGAGATTTTTTTAATGTTAACAAATATTGAATTAACCTAAGTACCTACTTGCAAATAGACAATGTAAAAATTAAACTCACCTTTCCACAATTTCGGCAAATCCATACACTGTAATATGCGGGAAATTTGCAGAAACATACTTCTTTCTTCATATTAGCACAGCATTTAACTAACTTTTAAACATTTGTAAAAACGACACAGAAAAGAGCCTAGCATTTACAATTGTTTACAATGAAATCAACTTAACCTATATCTTTTAAAATACAAAATATATAAAATGTTTACAATGAAAAAGACCTAAAAGTACGATATAGTAATTCACGAAAAAAGCAGCATTTATTTAACTTGAAAAACAACAGCTAACAAAATAAAATGAAATATCAGAATTGACCAATCAAAATTTGGTATAATGAAAATTAATAACAGTTTAAATTAGTAAAACTATCATTGCCAAAACTCACATCTTTTGTAATTACACTAGTTAAACAGCTGTTATCACGAAAATTAATATCAAATTTGAATTAAAGAAATTAAACCACAACTACTGTCTAAAAGCAACATTCGCCATGTTTCTATCGAAGCAATTACAGTGCTGCCAAACATTCTTTAGTGTAGCTGATCCGGTGTGTTAATAAAAAAACTGTTTGTTAAAATTATGAAATTATCATCCACAATCCTTTTAAACAGTTTTTTATTTAAATTTCGAAAATGCAACTTTCGACTTTATTTGATACAAATTTAGGCTTACTTAACTTTTTTAAAATATTGTTTTCCGATCTTTAAATATTTGAAAATATATATAAATTTTTCAAATAAAATAAACTTGGTCAAATACTACTCATTGAAAACTTACCATTAAGACAAAAACATCTAAAAATTAATAAATGTAAAGCAACAATCATTTTCAAATTAAATTAATTTTAAAAACA